GTTCCAAACCACAAGGAGGACATGGAGCCTTCCGGGTCGTCAACGCCAAACAGCCAGCAAATGCTGAACGAGAACAATCTTGAACAACGGTCCTCGCTTCTGCTTCAAGCAGAACAGTCTTCCAAACAATGGTCCTTGTAACACTACCACTATACAAAAGTGAAGTAGTAAGGAGGATAATAATCTCCGTGAAGGAGAGATGAGAGCTATGAAAGCTAAATGTTAAGAATTCTTCTTAAATACCAACAAGTCCTTCCTAAATATCAAGGAGTCCTTCCTACATATCAACAAGTTCTTCCTAAATATCGAGGATTCCTTCCTAATTGATAAGTAGACTGCCTATCTCAATAATTAGAAACATCCAAAAGGAGTTCCTAAATGCAATGACTCCTTCAAAAAAATTAAGGACGATCTAAGCGACACATCATATTATCCTCTCATTCATACTTATCATCTTGAGCTAAGCTTTGCTATAATAGGATTCAAATTCATATATTTGATAATGGGAAATTGAGATGATTACAAATGAGAACAATTATATATTATCAAAACTATTATACATTAACGTCATCTCAAACGTTATACAATCTTAGATAGATGATTACAAAAAATGTTAATCAGTTAGTCCTGGTTTTAGCTCTTCTCCTAGGTTGAAATAGAGTCAAGGTAGTGTGGTATTTGCAAGGAAATAATCTCTCAAGCCCTATTGTAAAAATGAAAATCAGTATATTGTTTTAGGATAGTCTTCATAAACTATACAAATCTCTTCCTAAATGTTCATTCATGCTTCCTAAATTTTGAGCAATGCTTTATCCAGTCAACATATGTGAGAAACTTCAATGTATTCAAAAACTGGTTTCTCTTTGTTTTAGATCTAGGCTCCTTTCTAATGTTGAAATGGAGCATATAGAGTGTGATATATGTAGACAAAGACTCTCTCATGTCCTGCAGACATATAAGCAAATGTGCAAATCGTGTCAAGAAAGTCATCCTTAAATATAAAAATCTCTTCCTAAATTTTCAACAGTGCTTCCTGAATTTTATTTGCAGATTGCTGAAAGAGCAATACCACGTTGAAATCTCATCCATCTACATTAAAAAACACATACCCAACATTTAATACCCTTGAAAACTACTAATGATTTCCACACCACAACAAAAAGAAAAATACTTCCAGGTCAAACTCTAACATTCTTGTTGTAACAAAACTAGTATTCTAACACAAAACTCATCTAAAGTAGTGGATGATGCAGGAATCTGAAACAGACAAGAATAATAAGTAACGAAGGCTGAAAAAACAGAAGCAGAAGCAGGAATGATGGCAACAATCCAAAATTTTGCTTGCTTCATGTCCTTGATGTATCCAATTTCACCTGCACATTAACCAAGTCAATGGAAAACACAGTCCAAACTCTAGCACTCTTGTTGTATCTAAACTAGCATCACCATTATAAATTAAACTCAGCTAAATTAAAACAAGAACTCAAGCTGACATTCACACACACTAAACTCTAAAATTCTATACCACATACCCGACCCAAACTCTATCATTCTCAATAAACCAAAGTAGCATTCTCACGCTGCCATTTACAAACAAAACTCAAGATGCCATTCACAAAAACAAAACTCTAGCATTTTCTATAAAAAAATCATACTCTAGCACTCTCATTATGTATCACAAACCAAAATGGCACAAACTTTAGTATTATTTATCTCATGTTGCCATTTTTGAAAACCTAACTCTAGGATTGATTAACACAAATCAACATCCGTGAGTGAAATCGATTTTACTCTACATTAGAATACGAGTAGTGAGTTGAATCGATTCAAATCTTATAGTGAGGCAAAGAGGCAAGGCAATGAGGCGAAGCAAAGATGCGAGTTCACCAGGACACAGATCTAAGAGGAGAAAGAATCATTGTTTGAGAGAGAAGAGTTGAAACAGCGATAGTGTCCGGTGACGGCGAGGTCGTCGATATCGACAAGAAATAGGCGATTCGATGTCGATTTGAAGAGAATCCGGCGACGGCGAGGTTAAAAATTTAACCGGCGACAGTGATCGAGAGAGATGACTTTTTTTGTATGTGAGAATGTGAGGGGCAATTTAGTCAAATTGTTTAATGAAAAATGTTGGGGATGGAATTTGTTGGGTCTTGTGGTATTTGTGACCCAAAAACATAAAATTATGCTATTTTTGAGAATCTCCCTTGATTAAATCCGTTAGAAATGACATTTTCCAATGAAATTTTTCGACAGTTTTTTTTCTTCTATTTGTAATTGATTCTTTCCTAGTTATTTAATTAGCCTGATCCGTAACATTAGCATATATAAAACCAGTTTTAGATAAGAGGATTGACATATCACATATATACAAGTTGATGACGTTTATACGGTGGTATATAACCCTCGGGAAAGACTCTTTGGATCTTGGATGTGGAAGAAGATGTTAAAATATATAGAAGCGACGAAAGCATTTTGTAAAATACATGTTCAACGTTAAATACTTTGTTCTTGTTTGATATTTAGTCAGGAAAAGGAGCTTTGTTCGACATAACTGGACTGGACCAAGAGGGATGATCATCGGTATGGGATATACAGTAAAACCTCAATAAATTAATACTCTATAAATTAATAAATACCATAAATTAATAAATTTTGCTGGTCCCAAATCGGGCCAATGTAAAAATTAACCAAATTCGATAAGATAATAAGATAATAAGTTTTTTTGAAATCCCTATGTAAATATAGTTATGTTGAAATATGCTTTTCTTTTTTTCTAAAAATAATTTTTCTCCTCGAACCTCATCTCTATAAAAAAAATATTTATGTTATATTTTATTATGTTAAAAAAATAATATACTCCATAACATCATAAAATAACCAAAATTTTCTTTATGTTTTCTATTTATAAATATGCATCATATTCATTTTTTCTTTGTTTTATAGGATGTTAAAAGATAACAGTTGAGGTATTAATCATAAATTTGAATTTATGTATGTACTTTGTATATAAGTGAATTTATTAATAATATTTTTAATTTATTGTTAAATTGTTTCTCTAAATACAGAATTCAATTTCAAACTATAAAAATATATAATCTTAAAGATTAATCTTATTTTGTAAAATTGTCCTAATTCATAATTTCAAAAAAATTTAAGCGTTAAAGATTCCACTATAAATTAATAATTATTAATTTACACTATAAAATAATAAATATTAATTTATAGATAAATTAATATCACTATAAATTAATAAATTTCTGTAGTCCTACCATTATTAATTTATAGAGGTTTTACTGTATATATTAAACGAGATTGAGGAAGCAGTGCATAAGGCATATCTCTGGCCAGTTAAGGGGAATTATGCATGTTTTCAAGCCTAGTTATTCTACCAAAGACACTTGGTAGCTTTGCATAAAGGTGTATGGTTTACTCATAATGACACCAAACAACACTTTTTGCGTTGGTCAAAGAGCACATTTTGATATATATTTTAACTTGAAAAATTCCATCTCCATGTTATTAGTCACGTACGTAAGCTTGAGAAATATCTTGGAGATGTTCATCTATATCACTTACGGGAAAAAAAGACTAAAGATAAAAAAAGATACAACAAAATAAACTTAAGATTTGTTGTCTGGTTCATGTTTAGGTTGATAAAGAAAAAAAAATGGGTGGATGCAGAATTGGTAAAATAGATAAATCAAGAGTAGCTAAATTAGAAAGGTGCCAATTCAACAACCAGAGACTAGTGCAACAGATCTAACCTATTTCTATATTTAAAAGGATCGATGTCCTCCCTCTTACTTCACTCCTTCCTTTAAAGTTTTAACTCAAATATCAATTTCTTCTAAATATTTGGTAAAGATCTTTGGTAAAAGCCTAAATATCGTCGATTCGAGTAGAAATTACGACGAAATCATATTTCCACCGTCGTTATCTATTTGGTAAATTAACTTTTTTTTAAATAACTAAGAGATTTTAGGGAAAAATCAAAGCAGGTAATATAATTTCGTCCCAAAGTCTCTTAGTTATTCAAAAAAGAAAGTTAATTTACTTTTTTTTTTTCAAAATAAAAGGAGGTAATTACTTTTCCATTGTTTTCAATTAAACTTTACATCTCCTTTTACAAATTTCTCTCTTGGTTTTTCAATATTATATTTATTAATTATAACAAAAAAAAGAAAATTTATATATATTTTGTACTTCACTTAAGCTTATCATCTATACACATATGTTACTCTAAATACTCTAAAGAAACACTATAAGTATGTTTGTTTGATAAACAAATAGATAACGACGGTGGGAATGAATCTTAATTCACTAATACGTATATGATGTGAGCGGGTAATGATTTTCAAAATAGATTATTAGTTTTTTTATTTTGAAGATAATTTTGATTCCAAAGAATCCAAAGAAGAGAATAAAATTATAGGTAGACCAAGAAAAGTCAAGACTTTTTTTCGGTGATTTAAATAAACATGAACAAAAACAAATGTAATCATTGATTATATAAATACTATTCATGCAAGAAAAATAAATTAAATTGAATATGTAAACACTCTTTTATATGACATTCACTTCTAGTTCTAAAATAAGTATTAATATCATTTTAATTACTCTTTCATAATTGTAATGAACCTTACGACAATTAATTAAAATGTGAGCCTAAAAGTAGAAAAATGTTAAATCATTATCAGAAAACAAACTAGAGAAAACTAAGTAGTACCACTAATTATCTTAATCCTTTATAAATGATACCATTTTTAGTAATGGACGTACGGTAAAAATATAATTTCATAATTTTCACTTTCCCAAATGTTATTGTGTTACCATTTGTAGCCATAGACCATGTTAAACTATACCTTCATTATTACATCTACATACATAGATATATGATCCAACTTTACACCTTTAAATAAAATAAGCCTAAAGCCTTTACAACATCTATTTAACATAAGCAAAGAGCTTTCTGACAGAACAAATGCACCAAACTCAAAGAAAGACAAAAGAAATAAGCAAAAAAAAACAGATTTGTCTCTCAATCTTGAGAATTTACAAGAAGAGAAAAGATGGTTTTTAGAAGCTCAATCTCCAACACAAGAAAGTTCTTCCAAAAAACTATAGACAACTTCAAGTCATTCTTCTCCAACGATGGTATGTATCAAAAACTACCCAAAGCACCAAACAACAAAACTCATCCAAACTCCAACATCATCAACATACCAATACCATCCATACACAAGAAGCTTCAACCGAAACCTAGAGACTATGTGACTACAAAAAGAGCTTTGACTAGAGGAGACAAAGAAGAGACTCTATTTTCTCAACCAAAGGTAAGTCTTGTTTGTGGAAAGCTAAAGGAGATGGAGAAGATGATGAGTGATGATATAGTAAGTGATGAGCATTATGTCTCAGATGTAAGGGAGTTTCTACATTGCTACTCTTGTCTTCGTTACACTGCTTACCTTGACGTGGTTGAGCATTTTTTCATGGAGGTTTACTCTGATTTCTTTAGCTCTCATCATCATCTTGAGCACACCCGAGATGATGTACAAAGAAGGCATCCCACGGTGGTTCGAGTTGGATCGTACGGTGGCTATACACTCTGATGGAAACGTTCATATATTATTTTCATTTTTACTCTTTACTTTTTCTTCATTTTTTTTTTAACCTTGTTTTGAGGCTTTTTTCTTCCTTTTGTTTTCCTTTTTATTTTGTATTTTCAGAATTTGGTAGTTTACAATAACATATACAGTAGTTTGGTTGGTGGATTATATACCACGGTATAAAAGTCATCGACTTGTAAATATGTGATGTGGCAATTATCTTATCTAAAACTGGTTTTATATATGGTAATGTTACAGATAAGACTAATTAAATAACTAGGAAACAATCAATTACAAATAGAAAAAAAAAATTGTTGAAATTTCGTTGGATAATGTCATTTATGACGGATTTAGTCCATTCATCCAAAAACTGAAATCAAACAAGCTAATTCTCGCAAAACAATATTTAATGGTGTTTACGGAGAAACTTTTGAAAGAGTTTTTGATGACTAGTTTATCGGTATTTTGATGGACAAATTTGAAAGATACCCCAAAGAAACTTTTCAACAAAAATATCAACGTCATTATTTTATACATTGATATAACACATATAGATATTAAATTACTTATTAATGGAAAAAAATATTTGATAAATAACTTAGATCTTATGATTTATTTCATAAGCAACAAAATAACTGAATAAAAACATATTATCTTTATGTACGCCAATTATATAAGCTTACAGGTGGATAATTATCCTTTCGAAAATATATTGCATCCGGTCTAGCAGTATATTCACGTAGTTGACCACATCGAGGATTATTTTCAATTGGAAGGTATGCTTCAATGTTGTGATAATACTTTTTGGTAACACCATGCTTAAGAACACATTTCCAAAGTGATGTTTGTTTTCCTGTATCCTTGAATCTAATGCCTGATCTAGCATTGTTGTTTAGGTACCTAACTCCTGAATTTGTTTTACCATCGTGGCATTGATATTCAAAACGTTTGCCGGCACCAAGTTCGTTCTTAAATACTATCTCGTTTAACTTGCAAGCTTCATTTACTCCCTGCCCATCTTGAAGATTTGGACAATCAAGCTTAAGCTTCTGTAAAAACCAAGAGAAATTAAGCTTAAACTTAAGCTTAATTGTCCAAATCTTCAAGATGGGCAGGAATACTGTTAACGTCGAGGTTGAAATCGACAAAATTTGATATAGTTCAGGGTGGTTATTTGAATTGAAAGCTGGTTTGGGTTGTAAAATTCAGAGTACGCGAGTTTGGCTATGAAAATACCTTCGGGAAATAGTTTGGGTTGATTTTCCCCATTTTCCCTTAGTTCATTCATCCATTACATTTTATCTAACGAATATTCTACTAACTGATTTATGACGGATTTTTTACGTTGAGTTATTTAAATATCTATTTACTAGTAACTAAATCTATTCAATCTTTTTAACAGGAGAATTATTTAAATTGGTCAAAAGTATTAAAATGTCTTAAAATAGCTCAAATCTTGTTCTCTACCAAGAAAATAAACCAAGTAAGAAAATTCTAAAGAAAAGAAAGGAATGTTGGGTAGAGCATTCTTCACAGGGAACATAAGTGTTCGAAATCATCCGATCAATTTATCTTTCAATTATGAAATCCTAAAAAAGAAATAAATGTATCCAATCTTTGAGTTACATATATTATCTTATGTGTGTTTATTTGGGCGATTTATAATTTTGAATGTAAATTAGTATGAGTACTAACCAATAAACAGTATTAAAATATATATATTTATATGTAGAAAAGATGATAAGATTACAAGTGAATCAAACAAATAGATGTAGAGTCAAATCTTAAAAACAAAAATATCATCGTCATTATTTTAAACGGGAAAAATGTTGTTTAGGTACTTAACTTCTGAATTTGTTTTACCATCGTGGCATTGATATGCGAGACGTTGACCGGGACCGAGTTAGTTCTTAAATACTATCTCGTTTAACCTAAAATAAACAGCAATAACTAACATGAAAAATATTAGGCGATTCATATTTCGGATCAGGGATAGTTGTTGGAGTAAGAAATGCACTAATTTATAGTATTTATAAATAAAAAAAGTTATGTGGAAGACGGTTTATATAGTACTACGGATGGATCCGCACGTACATGCGGGATTGGTTGCAAAAATTAAGTTTATCATAAAGTTTCAAAATATTTGGATCGACATGATAAGAGACCCCGATCGAGTGTAAACCGAATGAGTGATAAGTTAGAAATCAATTAAATTATGAACTATTACATCACATAAACCAATGAAAAATATTAAAACTTTTGAATAAAATAACATAAATATACATATATATATATATATATATATATATATTAGGAGAGTCAAACCCATTCACTATGCATGCCCTACAACAAATTGAACTGCTACTACAACACCATCAGTCAAACCCGTTAACTAATTAAATTACTCGTTCTCTTTCCGTATCCGTTATTTCTTATCCCGATATTTGAAATATTTAAGTAATTTAAAACTTACTTTTTGCTATTTAAATTTCATATTTTTGTATCATACCCGTCACTTGATATTTGAAATTTGAATTTGAATTTAAGTTTCCAAATTTTTTATATCGTCCTTTTTTTATGAGAAATAGTTTAGATAATTTATTTTTAGAATTACCCGTTTCCTTTTTGTATCCGTATTTTCCCTCTAAGATATGATTGTATATTTTTCATATAAATGAAAACATTTACATTTTTTTTTTAAAATAGTATTATATAGCTTGTAATTAACTAATTAAATTATCCGTTCTCTTTCTGTATCCATTATTTCTTGTCATGATATTTGAAATTATTAAGTAATTTGAAACTTACTTTTGCTATTTTATTTCATACTCATGTATCATACCCGTCATTTGATATTTGAAAGTTGAAATTGAATTCAAGTTTCCAAATTTTTTATATCGTCTTCTTTTTGATGAGAAATAGTTATATCATTTTTTTTGTACTACCCGTTTCTTTTTTGGAATTTTAAATAACTATTTTATTCAATTTTTATTCATAATTATTTGATTTTATTTATTTATTTGTAACATACATTAACTGTTTAATTATTTTTGTGGATTGGCAATGTTATATTATATGGAACCTATAATAATCATGTGATATGATTTCCTGAACTTTCTTAAAACTATTAAATGCTAATTCTATATTAGTTAATATCCAGAGAGATTGGGGAGTTAATATATTATTAAATTGATGTTAATAATAAGGAATGTTTATATGACGATTTTATTTTTGTTCACATGTTATTTTGGTTTTTTATTTTATTTCAAGGAAATATATAAATATCTTTTTGCTATATTTTCGAAAAACATTTTCAGTATGAAGATTTTTAATGTGAAAATAAGAGATTGTATGTGATACAAAATATTTATTAGATTGAGTTTTGAAAAAACAAAATTATTATTGATTTTTTAACAATTTTTTTACTAAAACATTTGAATTATTTATTTAAGACTTTAAGATAATATCAATTTTGTTGAATATTTCTTCAATTTTATGCTATTGTAAAATATATAACATATTTATTTTTCCTAAAATATCAATTTAAAACAAAAAATATATGATGATTTTGTAATGCAAAATAAATATATATCATATCGTAAGAGTTATACAAAATACAAATAACATAAACACTTGAATAAAATCATTATACCAAATAAAAAATACTATAAATTAGATTTGATTAAATATTAAATTATTGTTTAAAAATATCTCAAAAATTTTAGTATGTCATATATGGAGATTTTCAAATTTAATTGTCCACTCTTTTGGCAACAAAATTAGTATGATCCATAAATATAGATAGCTTCTGTTTTTTATTATTTATTTTTTAAAAAACAAATTGCTGTCTTTTATTCTGTTTGGCAAGAGGTTTTAATTTCATAATAACTTTTTAAAAAAATTGGGTCTGTTTGGACACAGCTTGTCCTTCTGTTTTAATAGTATAGATAATTATTAAGTAAATATTTATATCTATTTTTATAATATTAACTAAATTTAGATGCAACCATAAACAAACTAAAAATTTGGTCAAACGAGATTTTAATGTCAAAATTTATGGTTGACCAATCATATGAACTCAAATGAATTAATTTACTCGAGAAAAGATCCAAACGAGATTCGAAAGACCCGATCCAAACCTGAAATCTAAAAATACCCAAATGGATTCTATACCTCTAAACCCGAAAAACTCCAACCCGACCAAAACCTGAAAGTATACCAAAATATATACATCCACATTATAAGTATATAGTAATAATTTGTTAATAATATTTACATTTGTAATAATATAAATGTCAAAACTTTTGATATTACTCAAAGATTTGATCGAATAAAAAGAAGAAATAGTGTTTAATATATATTTATTAGGAACAACAATATGATTGAAAAAATGGTGATGAAGAATGTATCATATCCAACCCTTGCTTCTTTTAAGCCTTCAAAACTCTTCTTATATCCTTCATTCATCATTGGGTGTTTTCATTTGACCATTTAATCATTTTACTCTCAATTTACGCATCCGTTTTGACATCGCATTTACGCTTTCATGTCTTAATTTTGAGTTCGCTCTGTCTTCTTTTGGGCCTTAATTCATGAATTAGTTTCTATGGTCAATGGAGTAAGCTTGTCCTTCAATCTTATGAATTGCTTATAAGAGTTATTTTGTGAGTTAATCATTGGGCTCATTACCTGAATAAGGGGAACATGTGCCGTTATCGGTAACAGGAGAAGGATAGTTTTGTACTGAAGTGATCTAGCTCGCAGAACACCACAAGAGTTTAGGAAGAGTAGAAACTCTTAGGAGCTCGGGAAAGCAAGGTGAACAACAAATAATCTCAAGAAATCGAGGTGGACACCAATGGAGCTTATAGAGTTGTTGAACAAAATAATCCTAAACCATGTATTCACATTTAGTTATACAAAAATTATTTTTATTTTTTTCATGTTAGCGCTACGATCACTCTTAGGAAGTACGGGTTAAATACTAGTATTTAAACATTTAGCACTTATTAGAAATTATTTTTATAAAAAAAATGTATCGAACTAGATTTTGACCCGCGGTATCAAATTTCTAAAAAAATATATAATTGGTTTTAATTTTTTTTCGTACTCGAAAGTATTTGCTGGAGGTTAATTTGAAGAATATACCTCATCGTATGAGACAAAATAAGGTCAGCAATGGGTAGTAATTCAATCGTTACACATGAATGGTTGTAGAGTATA